GGGCGCGGCTGCTGCTGCTGCTGCTGTTGTGGCGCCGCCGCGCAGCCGCGACACGCTCGCTGCTGGGAAGGGCGGCGGCAGCAGACCCAGGTGCTCTTGCTGCTGCTGCTGCTGCTGCTGATGAGCATGCAGGCTGAACGGGCCCGCAGCTGCTGCTGCTGCAGGCGCGCCTGCTGCTGCTGCTGCGGGATCTGCTGCTTCCTGTACGTGCTGCGCGAACGCGGACGAGGGAGCAGCTTCACTTCGTACAGATCGACCCACATATTCCACGCCGCTGCTGCTGCTGTTGCTGCTGCTGCTGCTGCTGCTTAGCACTGCGGGTTGTCTACGCCGCAGAGAAGCTGGGGTGGCTATGATGACAGCAGGAGGAACTCCCAAGTCTGCTGCCAGGTCCACTGAGCGCCACCGAACTGCTGCTCGTGGCGAGCCATCTTGCTGCTGCTGCTGCTGCAAGAGCTGCTGCTGCAGCAGCTGCTGCTGCTGTTGCTGCAGCAGCTGCTGCTGCTGCAGCTGCTGCAGGTCACGGTGGCGCAGCAGCAGCTCTTCCTGCTGCTGCCGCTGCAGCTCGTGGACGGCGTGCTGGTGCTCATAGACCACCTCGCGATCGCGTTCGAGACTGTCCAGCTGCTGCTGCAGCAGCTGTTGCTGCTGCAGCAGCTGCTGCTGCAGCAACCGCTGCTGCAGCTGCTGCGGGAGGTGCAAGCTGTCAACCTTGGGCTGCTCACGGGCGCGCCGTTCGCACTCCTCCTCCAGCAGCAGCTGCTGCTGCTGCAGCAGCAGCTGCTCGGAGAGAGGGCGCACGAAGCTCTCGCCCAGAAGGTGCGCCAGTGGCATGGTGCTGCAGCAGCCTGAGACCCATGAGGGGGCAGTGGGCGACACCAGCTGCTGCTGCTGCTGCTGCTGCTTCTGTTTCTGCAGTAGCTGCTTTGGCTGCTACAGTTGCTGCCGCGCTACGGGCGCTGCAGCTGCTTCTGCTGCTCCGGTTGCTCCAGCGGCAGCCGCTGGTTGCTCCAGCGGCAGCCGCTGCTGCTGCTGCTGCTGCTGCGCCTGTCCCCGAGGCTGTGACGCCGCTGCTGCCGCTGCTGTCTTGGTGCTGCTGCGTGTCTCAGTTGCTGCTGCTAGAAAAATGAGGCTACAAATCAAACGACTGAAGTCCGAAAAAGGCTAAGAGGCGCTATAGGGGGCCCCGCTCTGCTGCTGCTGCTGCTGCTGCTGCTGCGCTGCGCGGCACAGGCTCAGCTCGGGAGGGAAGGGAAGCAAATACATCCAAAAAAGAAATTAATTAGAAAAACAAAAGGGAAACGAAACACCTGTTGCTGCGGCGGTGCTGTGACAGCGGCTCTGCTGCAGCAGCGGCAGCCGCTGCTGCTGCTGCTGCTGCAGCAGCAGAACAGCAGCAGAATGTGCATCAAAGGGCAGCTCGAGTCCAGGCCAGCCCTTGTCTCTGCCAGTCTACTCTTAAGCCAAGTGTCTCCTTGACATTGTCTGCGATCGCTTGCTGCTGCGTCAACGCCACCAGCAGCAAATGCAGCGGACGTGCTGCCCAGCTCGTGTGACGGCAGCGGTGCAGCAGCAGCAGCAGCAGCTGCTGCTGCTTCAATGAAAGGGCCCCCGGGGGCCCCAAAGATTGAGAGCCTCAGAAGCAGAAACTAGAAGCTGGCAGCTTCCAGTGTGTGTGTTTTATTTCAACAGCAACAGCAGCAACAACTGCAGCAGCTGGCCTTCTTCGTCTCGCCCGCGTGCTGCTGCTGCTGCTGCTGCTGCTGCTGCTGCTGCTGCTGCTTTCGGCCCGTGTTCGTCTTGGTCCTTGTCTCGAAGCTCTCTGCTTTTGCTGCTGATGTGTCGCCTTGATTTGCTGCCAGTGGAGACCGTGGAGTGTACAGACACCGCAGCTGCTGCAGCACGAGCAGCAAGCCACCGCGCTGCTGCAGTGTCTTCACTTTTATTTCTTTCTGTCTCTTTTCTGTCCCTTTTTTTGCTTCTTTTGTCTCCATTTCTTTACCGAAGGGCCCCCCTTTTGTCTGTCTCCTTTGCTTTGTCCAGGGGCCCCAAATGCTGCTATTTTAGTTCATTTAATTTTATTTTTTTTGTCTTTTTCCCTTTTATTTGCCTGTCTCCTTTTATCCATTTCTCCTCTTTGTCTCCGCCCCTCCTTTGAATTGGAGACAGCCAAGACAGGCCCCTTCTTGGGGTTGCTGCCGCAGCGGGACCAGCAGTAGCAGCAGCAGCAGCACTAGCTGCAGCGAGACCAGCAGCAGCACTAGCTGCAGCGAGACCAGCAGCAGCAGCAGCAGAAGCTGAAGCAGCAGCAGCAGCAGTAGTAGCAGCGCTGGCTGCAGCAGCGGCGGTAGTTGCAGCGCAGCCACAGCAAGTGCGGAGACGGCAGCAGCAACAGCGCCAGCAGCAGCAGCGACTAGACAGCAGCATATGCAGCAGCATATGCAGCAGCAGGTGCTGCGGAAGCAACCATAATTGCAGGTACAAGAGCAGCAGAGCAGCAGCAACTGCAGCAGCAGGTGCTGCTTCTTTTGCAGCTGATAATAGGGAAGAGTGCGCTGCTGCACTGCAGCAGCTGAGGTGTATGTACACCTTAGCTTTTATTCAAAACCCGAAGCAGCAGCAGCAGCAGCAGCACTAACCTCAGGCTCTTCGCAGGAAGACAAAACTTCCTGGCAGCAGCAACAACAGCAGCAGCAACCGCAGCTTCTAGCCGAAGAAGCAGCAGGAAGTCCCACGGCTGGATCAAACCTAGGCTGTGAAAGCAAGCACAGCAGCAACAGCAGCAGCAGCAGCAGCAACAGCAGCAGCAGCAGCAGCATTTGCAATGCGACGGACTTCCCAAGGGGCCACAGGAGGGGGGCCCCCAAAGGGGCCCCCCAGGCGCAGCAGTGCGTCTGCAGCAAAGACAGGGGGCCCCCCTGGCTCGCGGCCTTCCTCCTCTGGGTCCACCGCAGCAGCAGCAGCAGCAGCAGCAGCAGCGCTGCCGCGCGAAGCAGTGTGCAGGCCGCTGCTTGCTGCTCGCAAACCCCACAAACTCCGCAAAGGTTTTGCTGCTGCTGAAGTGCTGCCGAATGGCCACGACCGCTCCATTCTTTGCCTCGACCTCCACCCCTCCAGTCCGCCAAACCCTAAACCCTAAACCCTAAACCCTAAACCCTAAACCCTTAACGGAACAAGGAACAGGGGAGATAGGGCACTGAGCACTAGACATTATACACTGAGGACTAAACTGTGGATGGTGTTCTTGAGAGGCTGCCTGCAACATAAACCCTAAACCCTAAACCCTAAGCCGTAAACCCTAAACCCTAAACCCTAGGCTCTGCCGGGCGCAGGCAGCCCGCGGCGACGCCAGCCACGAAGAGCCCACTGGGGCCCTGCACGGCGCGAGCTGCTGCTGCTGCTTGCTGCAGCACCAAGCACAGCAGCAGCAGCAGCAGCAGCAGCAGGTGGTGCTCATTTGATGAAGGACAACAAGTTAATAAATTTAAAAATTTCCTCGTAACGCGAAATACTTTTGAAGTATTTTCCTTTAGCTGTGTCTATTAATTGAACATTACCATTCATCTCAAACAAACTTGAAAGATATGCTTTTGCTGCTGCTGCTGCTGCGGCTGCTGCTGCTGCTGCTGCTGCTCAGAGATGTACTGCGCCACAGGGAGCGCGGACGGTGGTCTGCGTGTGTTTCGGCTTCCGGGGGCCCCCCGGGGCCCCCCGGGGGGCCCCCCGGGGGCCCCCGGGGGCTCTTTGGTGTGCGAGTTGTTCGGGA